AGGCGTTTATTTGCTTTTGGGCAGCCATCGGTAAAATATTGTCCGACGGTAAACAAGATTGTCCGGTGGATCCATCCGTACCGTCTGTAAGACTGCTTCGTCGATCGGATACCGATCGTCAGTATTGGACATTTCAGGATTGGACATTTATGGGGTTTCCCAGCCTAATTTGTTTAGGATTTCAGACGATCTTACATCGTAGTCAGCTCCGGTAATCACCCTTCCTGCTCGATTTTGGAATTTTTACAATTTGTCTTGAAGTCCCAGTGAAACAGTGAAAAAACAGTTTCGAATCAGTGAAACCAACGATTTAAATGTCTTTGTAGACAACGAAAAGATCAAAAAAGTTCCATCTACAAAGTCGTTAGGTCTAACAATCGACGAGCACTTAACTTGGAAAAACCATATCAATAATATTACCAAAAACATTTCGTCCGGTATTAGTGCTCTTAAGCGCGTAAGACCTTTCATCAATAGAGAAACGGCTGTGAAGGCATACAGGCGCCTGGTCGAGCCCTATTTTACTTATTGCTCTCCAGTTTGGGATGGTATTGGTTTAAAACTGGGTGAGAAACTACAAAAGCTGCAAAATCGTGCGGCTAGGGCAATGACCAGGTCCGCGTATGAGGTTTCGTCAGCATCCCTACTTTCTGAGTTGGGATGGAGTGTTTTGGAAAAAAATCGCATGAAGCAAGAAGGTATCCTAATGTACAAAGTTAATAATAATTGTGCTCCTCAATACTTGCAGCAGTTATTTACACCCAAAGTGAGCAATCATGATCTGAGAAATTCTCTAAATAAATTGTCTGTTCCAAAACCTCGAACAGACTATTTAAAACGTTCTTTCAGCTACAGTGGTGCTTCCCTGTGGAACAGCTTGTCAGAACAGCTCAGATTAGCCCCTTCTCTCAATTCATTCAAAGTCGAATTGACTAATTTCCTATAGTATACTGAGTATATGCACTCCTGCACGGCAATCATGTAAAACAGTAATTATTATTTTCATCTTTTGACTGACATTGTATATCTTTAAATTTGTGTATTTTATTCTTGTACTGATGATTCTTCCGTGTTGAAATAAAGTGTATGTATGTATGCATGTATGTATGTATGTATATATGTATATATGTATGTATGTATGTATGTATGTATGTATGTATGTATGTATGTATGTATGTATGTATGTATGTATGTATGTATGTATGTATGTATGTATGTATGTATGTATGTATGTATGTATGTATGTATGTATGTATGTATGTATGTATGTATGTATGTATGTATGTAATTATTTAAGAATTAAATGGAACGACACGGCGATTTAGCATGAGCTATCAAGTAGTTTTCTCCCACGTAAAATTTCTACATCTGGGAATGAATTAGCCATCGCCGAACATCTTTCGGCCAGGAGGTTTCCGTGGTGTAGTGGTCATCACGTGCGCCTAACACGCGCAAGGTCTCCAGTGCGATCCTGGGCGGAAACAATGAAATGATGGAAAAATTCTGATTAAAATTTTCTCTCGATCGAAAGCAAGCACGCATAAATTTGCGCATAGTTATCCATTCTCATATAAGTCTTTGGAATGGATTTGGATATTTTCCGGAGAAATACTAAATATTTATTTTGTTTCCGTAATAGCGTCAAATAAGTTAACAAAATACAAAATAACAGTAACTGCGAATAACATTTTGATTTTTAATCAACGTTTCGACTAGTTTGTAGTCATCATCAGGATTAACAATTGCACCAATATATTCAACGGCCTCACGAAATAATTTTAAAATTTTCTGTCAGGAGTGGGATTTGAACCCACGCCCACATTAGTGGACCAGAAAGCCCTCTGGCTGTGCATTAGCGGAGCAAGTTTGGAAACTTAAGTCTGGCGCCTTAGACCGCTCGGCCATCCTGACTGCTGACAACCTTTGTGCCTACTGTATTTTACGTCATTTACTTTGTTAATAATGGAGAACAAATATTTCATTTAAACCAGGAAAATATATCCTACTGGAACTAACTCAACAATCGTTACTCACATCGCACGTCGGTGCTCCTTCTGTTTGGTTTAAGAGAAGAATCCAGATGGATTTATTGGGAGGAACAAATGAATGAATTTTCTTTCAATTTTGATGTTTTGATACTGGGGAAGTTTGTAAAGGGTTCCGAGCATGTGCTTGTTTCTGTAGTGTAGCGGTCATCACATGCGCTTTACGCGCGCAAGGTCCCCAGTTCGATCCTGGACAGAAGCATGCATTTGGTGTTTTATTCACAGAAAATGAAAAGAGCAAAATTCCGCAACGGACAGAACTCGTGCTTCACCAGGCAAGTTGCTGTAGTATAGTGTAGTGTAGTGTAGTGGTCATCACGTGCGCTTCACACGCGCAAGGTCCCCAGTTCGAACCTGGGCGGAAAACTTCTAAATATTTTGCGGAGCCAGGCTGTTTATTATCAAATTTTAATTCGCGTACATGATCGATTGTGAAAAGGTAAACCAATTTTTATAGGCCGTTAATTTGTGGCGCGCGATACGGGTTGCACAATCAACTTTACCTTCTGTTCCTTCGATTTCCCCGTTTTCGCCATCGAAGAGAGAAGTACTTGCTCATTATTTCTTACCTGTACTAGCATAATTTTCCCTAAAAACAGTTCCATGCTAAACTCTGATTAATGCATTGACGTGCAGTCAAGATCTGCCCTACCGCCCATATTTAACGAAGCAATAAATATGACAACTGATGGCCGAGATTTACCTCAAGATTGAGTGATGGGGAGAACGCGAGATATATTGTCAATGCGCTGCTGCAAACTGGCACTACGAAGGAATTTTTTAGCTGATTAGCGTTTAATTATTTAATAATTAATTGGAACGACACAGCGATTTTGCATGATCGATCAAGTAGTTTTTTCCCACATAAAACTTCAACATCTGTTGCAGCTACTGAGTATTATGACACATCTACTAGAATAAATAATAAAATCTTTGGGCAGTGTGGTTTTCACTTGACAAGCGCGTGATGAATATTGTCAATTTTCGCTAATTCGACTAATTATAAGCTATAATTTGTTAATGCATTTACTTAAACTTTTCGCGTTAAAAACATACAATATTGTTTACTATCTTTCAAGTATGGCTGTTTTTTGGATAGAGACTAAGTTATAAATATGCCAGCATTTATGCTAGCTTTATAACATAGAACAAAAGTCTTGACGCATGTGCCGATTGAAGTTGACATGCACGCGTTGCTAATTTTTTTCCGCCGGTATTATCTTTTTATTATTTATCAGTGTGTGAAAGCACTGTAAACATACTGATCTTGGTAACAAAAACTATATGCACCGATTTCCTCCGAATGTACACATCTATCACAAGAGAATATTAGAAGAAAGTATATTATACAATTTATTACAGAGTAATGTTTTTCGCGCGAATAGCGATTCATATATAATCCCCGTCATCGCTTGAAGTCGGTCAACGCGTAATTTCAAGTTTTTCTTCACTTTCTTAACAGTATATTTATATCGTAAAATCATTACAATCTTAACTCGTTGAAGTCGGTCAGGGGGGGTGGGGGGGTAAAATCCCCCAAAGAAAAGACAAGAAAGGGGCCCAAATATTTTCGGGCAATATAGACCACAGCTCCTCCATTAGATATATGAATCCCGTACGCCTATGAGTGTACTACTATACATTTATATTTCTCTGATGTGCATAGAGAGACAAGGTACGAAATTAGAATCTATAAACAATCAACTTTAATACATGCATGGTTGGGTATACAAAAACTTTTGATGTAAAAAACGAATTTCTTTCTTGTTGCTTTGAGCTATTAGACTATATTAAAACCGACGAAACATGTAGTAAGCGCATTTATTAACTCTTAAATTACGGATGGGGTCGTATACGACCCCAAGTCACCTGCCCGTTCTATTTTCGCCTTTTCTCGCGGGTTTGCGGGTGGATGAGGCTGCGAATGCTTGCATTGCAATCTGGGATAATTTTGCTTTATTTGCATACCAAACATGCAAGAGTTTGCTCGACATTTAATGAAATAAACTGCAATTTATTGAAGTAAACATTTCGATTTTGAAAAATGTGATATGGCTGAAACATCGTAAAACATAGAAGAGGGTTTTGGCATTTGTTTTAGCCGATTTTGCTGTTGAAATTAAAAATACCGACGACGAACTGGTTACAGATTTTGAAGATGAATTTGGCAAAAATATAACCCTTATATATGAGGGCAAGTGCCCCTGCACACGAGGGAGAACCATTGCTTTTTTCTTGATTGAGAATTGAACAAAGTAAGTGTCACAATTATCCTTTCTATTTTGATGTTATACTTGGGTGTAAAATATAATAAATACAAATTGATATAATGTTGACAACATAAATTAATATTATGCCAAAATAGATAACATATAATATATACAATATTCCAAGTATTATATTCTTACTTTTTACCATGAACTTTCTTAGTACGACAGTGATGCTGAAAGTGATGAATTGTCAGGGGAAATTGTAGGTTGAAATTGTACTGAATCTTACCCCAATTGTTGTCCCAAATTTGTAAGCCTAATTGCTCAGACAAATAATTATGTCTGTTGTCCTTTCTAATGTAGCTTTCGCCAGAGTCGACCACTGCCGATGATGAACCAGGACCAAATTGTAAACAAAGCAGACGTAGTACTACATCCAAGCAAAAAGATAAGACAACGAAAACTAGCTTGAGTTCTGCGTCACTGATGTGCACCAAATCAGATGGTTCAATGACAGTAAGGTATGATAGTACATAAGCAACTGCGGCTTAGCTTGGCCTATTGCCTGTGTCAACCTTTACTTGACTTGCACATTGGTGGTAGCCCTCGTTCCACCCTCAGGACCAGGCCGGCCACCAGCATACTTTCACGATTGAAAGGGAAGCACTTTGCAAGTGGTGCAAAGAAAGGAGATAAGAAGGGAATATGTAAAGTCTGTGGAAGCGAAAGGACAAGTAAAGGAAAGAGAAAGGACACAAAAACTTCTAATAAGTGTCTATAATGTGACATGTTCTTTTGCGAAGGAGTGTGTTTCGCAGATTATCACACCAAAACGAAGGTGTAACATGTGACTATTCTAATAAAATATCATAGTTAGGTAGGAACATGACAATTTTAGTGCTTTTTAGAATACATGTATAATAGTTTGTATAAAAACAAAGCAATCTGGGTGTGAAATTTTGGGTTTTCAGAAATCCAAGATGGTCGCCATAGATTTTTGTGCAACGATCCAATTTCATAAAACTCCAATTTCTTCAAAACGACAAATTGGATTGAAACAAAAATTTATAGCTGCTTTGACTATATCCTCAAGAACTAATTTGTATTATTTTTTAAATAAACCAGATTTTTCTAGACCTTGTAAATTAATTTGAATTAATGCAATGATGAAAATTATGCTAATTATTCATCAAAAATCTGTAATTCATCACCCCCCTGGCTACAGTAAGTACCGAAATATTTTTCAAAACCTATTTTTTAATAATCTTCATCCCATAAGCTTTCATAAAATATGTAGGTTTCCCTACTTGCTGCAAATAACTTTCTTTTTTTTATGGTTGAAGTTATACTATTACAAATACAATGTGAATGGCTCCAAAAATTCAGTAATTTATTCTCAAACAAATAAATGAACCAAGACTGCATGTCGTAATCTCTCTGAAAGGGCGAAGCAGTAACTAAAGGGTGTATATATAGAGGCATCTAACGGCAAGTGATTTAACGATCGCACGGAGGGGTTATTAGAGACCTTACGATTTTAGGACGGCAACGCGACGACGACGGCCAAAACAAACTCCCTCAAATAAATGGTAGTATTAAAGCCCTCTATTTGTTGTATATTAGTTTCTCATCAGGAGCTTCTCCTAAAGTGGATGCGGGCTGGCGGGCCAATACCATTATGCCATTATTTGCTGGATTTCCCCTCCCCATAAAATTTATTTTGGAAAAGTGCGCATTAAGCATTTATATAGCAACTTTCTGAAAAACAGCACAAAATCAGTAAGTGCAACTGAAAGCATGTTTTCATAATTTTTTACCCAGAGCGTCTGGCGTTTTTCTCCCCTGCAGTACTGACTTCCGGTAGAACTTTTATAGCTGAGTTTGGATATTTAATAAGTGTGTACGTAATGCGGGAAAAACTTGCAGTTTGGTTATGAAATTTTGTATTTTAACTAACATTTGGTTTGGGAACGTTTCTAATTGTCGTTCTTTCAAATTTCACTTTGAAGACATCACAAAATTTATAATAATGGTCGAAAATTGCAATAATAATGGCGAACAAGGCCATTTTCTTAAAAAAGCATTCGGGTGGAGATGAGAATTAACTAATATACAGCAAATAGTGGCCTAAATACAATTCGTGGTATATTAGCAATCGTATGAATTTAATACAATCGTATTAATTTAATAGGTTTTATGTTTGGGAAGAGTTCTGCTGAAGCCAGTTTGAAGTTGCACTTGTTGCGGCTTGAAATGCAGCCGTTGTATCAAGACGTGAAAATCTGTGATTTGGCGTTGTAAATAAAGCGAGGACAATGTCTAAATTATTCATATATTGCAATTATTGAATTCTTTTTAATTATTTATTGTATTTGTAGCCGTTGCTGTCCTAAACCGTAAGTTGTCTATTTAAAAATCTGGGAACCATGCAAGGTAAGGGGCGGACCATTTGATTTTTAAGGGGGGGGGGGTTGGAAGATTCAGTCTGTGCAAGAATTTTTTTTCCACCCAGGGAATAAGACAGATATTTTTTCCTGTAAAAGTGCAGCGGAAGATATTTTTTTCCCAATATATTTCGCGGCAGGATATTTTTTTATTCCCCTCATAATAACTGCTTTAAGGCTTTCATATAGCTATCGGACGTTAGCCAGGGTTTTCAGTCAGAGGAGGCCGAACCTGAATCCCAAGAGGGGCCAAGGAATTTTCACTGTGCTTTATTTTATATGGTTATGTCTTAATGTTCCCCACACTAAAGCGTGCAGGTTTACTTACAAAAAATGTATAACTGCACCAAAACCTAAAGCATGCACGGATAGAGAAGAGTACTCGAAAGTGGGGGAGGTACAGTATATGAATGACCTGTAACCTTGGGGGGTTCGGGGGTTCGAAAATTTTAAAATTTGAACCTCGGAAATGCTATTTCCTGCGTTTTCAGCCATGGATTCGTCCAACAACTTTTCTGTACTAAGCCTAAGGAACACTTACTGTCCTTTATTTTAAACAAGGGAAAATCACAAAATGAGCTTTGATTAATATGTAATTAATAAAACAAGATTTCAATAATGCGATTTTTAACTGCCCTCCGAAACAACAATGTTCCACCAAATATAGCTCCGTAGCTTTTCAATCGTTCATACAAATAGCTTGTTGGGGATCGGGTGGCATCCTCTTCATAATTTTTTTAAAATCTAGACTCTCTAAACTGGCATTTTCGCATTAAAATCATCGTATATACAGTGCGTTCAACTTGCATCCTGTACATGAGCCTTTAAAGCTTTAATAGTTTGGAGCTATGTTATCAAAAAACGCACACAGACTCAACCATCCAAAAATACTTTCTCTACCATGCATATTAGATATGTATAAATAACTTATAAACTTGTATATATTTAAGCCCAGATTTTCGCGAAAAATTTAAGTAAATACAAAAATAAAATATAGCTTATAATTAGAGGAATTAGCGAAAATTGACTATATTCATGACGCGCTTGTCAGGCGAAAAACAAACTGCCCAAAGATTTTATTATTTATACTAGTAGTCGTGTCGTAATACTCAGTAGCTGAAATAGATTGGATACCTGATACCGTTGCATTTATGAGAAAAAATAATTTACCGCCAGCATACAGTACTAACACGAATATTTAATCAGCTGTCCGAAAGACATATTTAAAAATACACAATATTGTGTTTGCTTCAAGTGATCAGGATAATTTTTAGTTTAGGTTTATGCCTAGGCAGTAAATAATAAAATATGTAAGTTTCAAGAAGATAGAATAAAAGCGCGAGATGAACTGTGGGATATAAAAAAGCTCAACTATCAACGTTTTTTGTTCATTTTATGAATGACTTTTTCCAAACGAAAGTTTGAAGGAAATCTGTAATCTTAAGAAATTCGAGTGGTCGGTTTTTAAACGGACTGCCTCTTAAGAATTAAATGGAACGACACGGCGATTTTGCATGAGCTATCAAGTAGTTTTCTCCCACGTAAAACTTGCACATCTGGGAATGAATTAGCCATCGCCGAACATCTTTCGACATGCAGGTTTTAGTAGTGTAGTCTACATCACGTGCGCCTAAAACGCGCAAGATCTCCAGTTCGATCTTGGGCGGAAACAATGGATTGATGGTAAAATATTTTCTCAAAAATGCCGCACTTACAGCAATCCCTGCTCATATATGTCTTTGGGATGGGTTTGCACACTTGCCGAAGAAATATTAAATATTTATTTTGTTTCCTTAATAGCGTCAAATATGTTAACAAAATACAAAATAACAGTAACAGTAACGGTGAATAACATTTTGATTTTTAATCAACGTTTCGACTAGTTTGTAGTCATCCTCATGCAGGATTAACAATTGCACCAATATATTCAACGGCCTCACGAAATAATTTAAAATTTTCTGTCAGGAGTGGGATTCGAACCCACGCCCACATTAGTGGACCAGAACGCCCTTTGGCTGCGCATCAACGAAGCAAGTTTGGAAACTTGAGTCTGGCGCCTTAGACCGCTCGGCCATCCCGACAGCTGGAAACCTTTGTGCCTACTGTACTTTAAGTCATTTTACTTTCTTAATAATGGAGAACAAATATTTCATTTAAACCAGAAAAATATATCCGAATGGACCTAACTCAACAATCGTTACTCACATCGCACGTCAGTGCTCCTTCTGTTTGGTTTAAGAGAAGAATCCAAATGGATTTATGCAGAGGAACAAACTAATGAATTTTCTTTCAATTTTTATGTTTTGATACTGGGGAAGTTTGCAAATGGTTCCGAGCATGCGCTTGTTTCTGTAGTGTAGCGGTCATCACATGTCCTTTACGCGCGCAAGGTCCCCAGTTCGATCCTTGGCAGAAGCATGCATTTGGTGTTTTATTTATAGAAAATCAAAAGAGCAAAATTCCGCAACGGACAGAACTAGTGCTTCACCAGGCAAGTTTCTGTAGTGTAGTGGTCATCACGTGCGCTTCACACGCGCAAGGTCGCCAGTTCGAACCTGGGCGGAAACATACTAAATATGTTGCGGAGCCAGGCAGAATTTATCAAATTTTAATTCGCGTACATGATCTATTGTGAGAAGGAAAACCAATTTTTATAGGCCGTTAATTTGTGATTCGCGATACGGGTGCACCATCATCTTTTCCTTCTATTCCTTCCAATTCCACCCCGTTTTCGCCATCGAAGGGAGAAGAATTTGGGCATTATTTATTACCTGTTCTAGCGTGATCTTCCCCAAAAACTGTTTCACGCTAAACACTGATTCATTCATTGACCGGCAGTCAAGATCTGCCCTACCGCCCAATATTTAACGAAGCAATTAATTTGACAGCTGTTGCCCGCGATTGAGCTCAAGATTGAGTGACGGGAAGAACGCAAGATTCATTGTCAATGTGCTGCTGCAAGCTGAAACCACGAAGAAATTTTTTAGCTGGTTAGAGTTTAATTATTTAAGAATTAAATGGAACGACACCGCGATTTTGCATGATCTATCAAGTAGTTTTCTCCAACGTAAAACTTCAACATCTGGGAATGAATTAGCCATTGCCGAACATCTTTCTACATGCAGGTTTCCGTAGTGTAGTGGTCATCTCGTGCGCCTAACACGTGCAAGATCCCCAGTTCGATCCTGGGCGGAGACAATGGATTGGTGGAAAAATTCTGATTACAATTTTCTCTCGATCAAAAGCAAGCAGGCATAAATTTGCGCATAGTTAAGTGGAAATATTTTCTCAAATATCGCGCACTTACAGCAATCCATGCTCATATATGTCTTTGGGATGGGTTTGGACACTTGCCGGAAAAATATTAAAATTTTTATTTTGTTTCCGTAATAGCGGCAAATATGTTAACAAAATACAAAATAACAGTAACAGTAACTGCGAATAACATTTTGATTTTTAATCAACGTTTCGACTAGTTTGTAGTCATCCTCAGGATTAACAATTGCACCAATATATTCAAGGGCCTCACGAAATAATTTAAAATTTTCTGTCAGGAGTGGGATTCAAACCCACGCCCACATTAGTGGACCAGAACGCCCTTTGGCTGCGCATTAACGGAGCAAGTTTGGAAAGTTGAGTCTGGCGCGTTAGACCGCTCGGCCATCCTGACAGCAGGCAACCTTTGTGCCTACTGTACTTAACGTCATTTTACTGTCTTAATAATGGAGAATAAATGAAAAATATATCCGTCTGGAACTAACTCAATAATCGTTACTCACATCGCACCCATTCGCACGTCAGTGCTCCTTCTGTTTGGTTGAAGAGAAGAATCCAAATGGATTGATGCGGAGGATCAAATGAATGAATTTTCTTCCAATTTCAATCTTTTGATACTTCCAATTTTGATCTTTTGATACATGCGCTTGTTTCTGTAGTGTAGCGGTCATCACATGCGCTTTACGCGCGCAAGGTCCCCAGTTCGATCCTGGGCAGAAGCATTCATTTGGTGTTTTATTTACAGAAAATGAAAAGGGAAAAATTCCGCAAGGGACAGAACTCGTGCTTCACCACGCAAGTTTCTATAGTGTAGTTCTGTTCTTGCCAAAGAAGCCAGTCGTTTCCTTCATTTTCATGTTCAAGATCGTTTTGCTTCCACCTTACTTGCTCTTCCTGATCAAGGAAAAGTGGGACGTGCGCTTACTACCGACACCTTCGCCAATGGTTCTACCTGGCAATATGATGGCTTAAACATTCGTTTCAGAGATTGGCCTTTCATTCACCGAGCTCGACTTAACTGCCTCCCAGTAAATAATGTGAAGAGTCGTTGGTCTAATTCCTGTCCAAAATGTCGCCATTGCAACTCGGATGAGACTCTCCCTCATGTGTTGTGCCACTGCCTTCGTAACATGCCTAGTATCCTGCGGAGACACAATACCATAGTGGACCGCATCGTCAACGCCGTTCAAAGTGGAACTATCACCACCGACCAACAAGTTCGTGCAGCCAATTCTCGTCTTCGCCCTGACATAATAGTAGAAGAATATAACAAAGTGCTAATTATTGATGTATGTTGCCCCTTCGATAATAATGCTGAAGCCCTGCGTGATGCTGAACAACGGAAACTTAATAAATATGAAGGGGTGAAGCAATTCTTCGTTGGTCAAGGAAAGCAATGCGAGGTCTTTGGTTTTGTGATCGGTGCCCTTGGTTCCTGGCATCCAACCAATGAAAACGTTTTACGACAACTTGGGATGTCCAAACGATATCGTTCCTTGTTTAGGAAATTGTGTTGCACTGACGCAATCCAAGGATCAACAAACATTTACCGAGAACATCTTGGAATGACAGAGGGTTCTGTGGATGCAGATAACTCTGAGTAGCATGCTTAATATATATTTGTAATCAGTATCTAATTCACATTCTGTACATATGGAGGAACTTTACTTATATATTTGGAACATTATAGATTTATAGACATTTTTAAATTCTTAGGACAAAAATAACTCGCTTATATGAACTGATCTTGATACTATGACCATTAATGGCACTAATTGTATATATTGACTAGGACTTAAGTAAGACCCATCACCTGTAAATTAATTTGTAATAAAGAATGAATAGTGTAGTGTAGTGTAGTGTAGTGTAGTGTAGTGTAGTGTAGTGTAGTGTAGTGTAGTGTAGTGTAGTGTAGTGTAGTGTAGTGTAGTGTAGTGTAGTGTAGTGTAGTGTAGTGTAGTGTAGTGTAGTGTAGTGTAGTGTAGTGTAGTGTAGTGTAGTGTAGTGTAGTGTAGTGTAGTGTAGTGTAGTGTAGTGTAGTGTAGTGTGGTGTAGTGTAGTGTAGTGTGGTGTAGTGTAGTGTAGTGTAGTGTAGTGTAGTGTAGTGTAGTGTAGTGTAGTGTATGACTGCAATCCAACTTGTCTTGAATGTGCTATATACGCTGCCGCCGGAATACGCGAATATTGCGAATATGCTGCATACTAAAAATATCCGCTTGACTGACATCGATCACAAACATGAATGAAGTTATGAAGGTAACTTCAATGCCAAAAATACATTTAATGATGAAAAATTGAAATGTCTGATTGAAATTCAGCGTCGAAATTCACTTAGCCGTGTCTCTTACCCTATATAATATATAGTACTATCAAGTACCGTTTCGACATTACTGATAAAAGCAATATCTGACATTGAAGCTGTTAACTTGAAGCGTCTTTAGTCACTTTACATGGCTATGCCAGTGTATTTTTTACATAGTTGAAGTTACCTTCTGACATATAAACTTCATTTATGTTTGTGATTGATGTTCAAGCGGTATTTTTAGCATGCAGCATATTTATGTTAGGCTATTTATTTATATTCGCAATATTCGCAGTGTATATATAGCATATTCAATGTTGGATTGCATCTTACACTACACTACAAATTAATTTAGTGCACAATTGCTGCTGAATCCAGCGCAATCTGCTTTGCGTGCCGTGGCAGTTTCCTTCTCTGTCTGCTGGGATTTCATAATCAAGTGCGGCGGCCAGTAAATAAACTAAGTGCATCACATGCAGTCATATCAAAACAGACAAGAAGAATGGCCGCGCAATTACGAAACATGTTTTACTGTGTAGTGCTACAACGATGTTCATCTTTGTTTTGTTTAAAAATCAAAATGCCTTGTATATAATATTGTACTTTATCATTGAATTGCGCCCTCCCCCCCCCCCCTGTAAATTATTATTATGTATATCTCCTGTGGTGCAAAATGCTCTAATTTGCATAAATTATGCACGGTTCCAGGTTCCGGTTCCAGGTTCCGGTTCCTGTATCGCTGTATCGTTGTATCGCTGTATCGCTTTTTAGTAGTAGCCCGCTAATCCGATACTAATAGTTTATCAAGTTCGCTTATGTAAATAACAACGCTGTCCCTCTCTTCTCTGTTAGAGAGGCTGCTCCATTTACTGTTCTAGAACATTTGGAATACTGTTCTGAAACGATATGAAATGGAGTGCACACGTTGTTCTGGAACAGTATTTAGTTTATTATATATGCGTGCAAACATGCATTACTATATCATTAGTTATTCGCATAATAAATCGTATAATGATTTGCTGTTATTTGTATATCTAAGCACGCTTTTGCAACGTTTTTACTCGTTAACCATGCATTCAAAATAACACTCTATACAGTGTGCATTGGATACACAAAATATTTCAAATGCAAAATATTTCACGTGAAAATGGGTAATGTCACGTGTTGTGTCAGTAGCTGCCCCCCTCAGTGCTGCCCCCACTTTGAAGTTGAGCCAGCCAGAACAGTTCCGAACAGTCATGTGATCGTGTTCTGTTCCATTCCATTCCATTAGTGTTCCCCAAATCCGGAGTACTCCGAACAATAAATGGAGCAGCCTCAGAGGCTTTTATTAAACATTGATATGTACTTATCAATGCTTTTAAAGCATCAATTTAGAAAGAATTACGAATTTCTAAATTAATCCTTTAAGAGCCTCTGCGGAGAAGAGAGGGGCTTTCCCACAGTCTTTCTGTGCTTTTCGTAAAAAGGCTTACATTTTATCTTTTTTATTAGTTTCTCTTATCCACACTGTAGCGTCAACAAACTTGGCCGTTTTAGGGCAAATCGTCCTCCTATAAAGTAGGATTTTCAAACAGTTTTGGTCAACGGTTATTAACGCATACTTTGAGCTAGGAAACCAGACTAGATTACTGGCACTGATTCTAGTGATAAACTACATTTGACTAACTTTCTGACAAATGGTAGTTCACTCGAAAAGGCGAAGTTTCACTCAGGTATTTTTCAAGTATAGTTGAATCCCTGCCAATCCGTAGCTTTTGGTGTTTTTTATCGACAATTCTTGCAAGGAAAATGTCCCCTCCCCCTCACAAAATATCTAATGGTCCATCCGACCTTATAATGCCAATTAAAAGCAAAGGGTGAAATAAAGTTCTGAACGGTCTAGCTGTGTCAGCGTAGGTAATGATCTACCTTCGCTGGCTCACGCCGTTCAAAACTATATTTCACCCTTTGCTTTTAATTGGCATTACATACGGTCGGCTGGACCATTATATATTTTGAGAGGGGGGGGGGGGGGAGGGAACATTTTCCTTGCAAGAATTTTTTTAAGTTCCGAGCTTTGTCGAAATATTCTCACGGTGTAGAAGCTGTTCACGAATTTCCTTCTATTTATTTCTGTATATTCAATGTAGTTGCAGGAATTGTTTTTCTTTCTTGGGGGGGACCCCACCATATGAACACACACACACATTCCCAAGCACACACACGCTTCCCTTAGGAGTTCGATAAACAGGGTTCTACTTTATCTGACTAAAAATCAGTCTCATCTCACTCTCAAAATCGGTCTGGATATCGGATGTCAATGGATGAATTTTTGGACCAAGAAACAAAAGAAAACTAATTTGCAATTCGTCAGTCTATGACATCACATTCTCATAAAATTTTTACAGTGAAACGTTGATAAAGATAAGGTTTTTTTACTATAAAGATACAGTATACTACAGTTCTCTTTAGAGTGACCCAAATATTACACATACCAAATATCATATTTGGGGTTAGTGGCACTTCAAAAGAAGACAAAAAATGCGGTACTGCAGTATTTATGAGATAGTGTCGTCAAGTGTAAATATTATCATGCGGCAAGTATATATCTAAGAAACAGTTTGGCGGTTTCTTTTAACACTCAAGTACCTCGTGAATTATTATTATTATAACTTATTTAGACACACGTTAGCCTTTTAATTGCATGCATGCCTGGTTTTCAAAAGGCCGTATACGGTTTACAAAAGTGGAGAAAAATGTTACCTATTAGTTTTCAATTATTTAAAAATATATAATATAGTTGATATACAGTTATAATAGTAATAGTGTTCTTAGCTTGTGAGGTTTGCTTGACTTGTCAGGTTGATTGATTTACATATGACTGTTGACGTCGCTTTTTAATCTTCAATATTTGAGCGGGTCATGCTTTGGAAATGACAATAAATTTTTATTACCCAACCCTTGAGTTGTTTTGTTTTTCATTTAATGACAGTACTGTGGCTATATATAAAGTGAAAGACAAATAAATATTTGCATGGGCGTACCGGAAGGAAAAATTTAGGGGGGCGGCAAGAAATTTGCCCGACTTTTCAGGATTTTGCCCGACAAGTACCGAAAAATTTTTTTCCGGAATTTGTTTTTGCGACCTCCC